TGTCATTTTGTGAAATAATGATACCACATATAATAGTGTAGTGATGAACACAAAAATCGATAAACAATCAGTGTGTGTGTTTTATAATAAATGTTACAGAAAGTGACAGGATAGCGATAGCGATGACGGCGACAATTTATAAAATAACTTGTTACCATAATACATCAATCTGTTTTACTTGTCATGTTCCTTCATGATTACATTTTTTATTTATTTTACACACAATTATAAAAAAAAGTCTCAGATCATTAATTAATCGTCAAAACTAAATTATCGGTTCAAAAATATTTAATTTTCTGATATACTTACTTTACGAGAGTAAAATTATAAACGAGAAGAATCGATCCAGAAATATTGCATTTCAATATCGAATAATTTCGCAACGTCACTATTTAGTACTTGTCATAACGTTGCAACCCTGAAATTGTCAAATCTGGAATCGAATTAAAATTCCGAGTATAGATAACCGATACAACTATTTCTATCCTACAAGCGCCCACTTTAAAGTCATTAGTAAGGAAGCCGTCGATTTGTTAAAAATATCTTTTTAAAAGGTGGAGTAGCCACATCTGTCTAGACGGGAAGTCGAACCTAACGTGTAAAGAGACACTGCGCTCCGGCTATCGAGTGTCGGCATGTTACTCAAACAAGATAAGGTTTCAAAAAATATTTTTGTTACGTCTTCCGGACACATTAGGGCGGGTTCACAAGTAATAATTTTAGTTATATTTCGACAGTTTTAAAAGACGTAGACGTATGCTTGAATGTCCTTATAATTAATGGTACATTTTTTGTAGCCCTAGAGTATTCAACTCTAAGTTTGTAACAATAAATTTGAAAATAGGGTTCGACTGTGTCCTATCAGTCAAAAATATTTCAGTACATGTTCGACTGCACTGTTAGCGCGGTGGTTGGGCAACTGACTGCCGCACAACGTGTCGCGGGTTCGATTCCCGCACGGAACAACTCTTTGTGCGGTCCACAGATTGTTGTTCTAGGTCTGGGTGTCATGTATATGTGTACTTGTATGTTTGTAAACGCACCCACGACACACGAGAAAATCCTAGTTGCCCCACAACAAAAAAAAAGTGTTTGTTCTTTCTTGAAGATGTACTATATTGTACTACTATGTGTATGTATATTGCATCGATGACTGCACGGTTGGTGCGGCGGCTGGCCAACTGGCTACCGTGCAACGGCTAGCGATCGGGTTCAATTCCCGTACGGAGCAACTCTATGTGTGATCCAGAAATTGTTGTTGTGTGTGAGAGTGAGAGTGTATATAAAATTGTATGTTAGTAAATGCACCCATGACACAAAACAGAGACAGGCACAGAGAAAACCATAGTGTGGAAACGTTATTAAAAATAAAAATATATAAAAGTGATGCTATTATAAGCATAGAAATACCATAAAGAGAAAAATTTGTTCCCTACCATTGGAAATTGCACCTCCCACATAACTGAACGACATAAAAGTATCTAAGTTCATAAATAAGTCAGAGTGGTATTGAAAAATAGTATACAATAAAATAAAATGCGTAGGAAAAGTGAACTTGAATAAATTTTAATGTCAACTGTTTCAGCTGTACCTAGCAATCAATACTTTAGCAATTCTAACTTCTTGATTTTATTATTATATTGTAGGTGTATTATAGCGTAAATTTCACCATCGCAATCCTATCCAGTCTTCGAGGATATATGTATATGTATAGTACATTCACGATTTCCCAATATAAACTTGCTAAAAATGCGTCGTAAATCCTTATGCTTAATTCTAACTCTATTACTAAAAATTTCAAAATAGACCAAGTCTTAATTTTGACCTATCCGGAAATTGAACTTGAAACATCGAAATCGAACTAGTTACTTTTGAAAACCGAAAAAAGTACTCTATTAGTGTCAATTTAACTATTACTACTATACTAATCATTTTAGGTGGTTTCTGCCTACCTCAGAGTCAAAGGCAAACTCGTTTGACTCGTAGAACATTCAAGTTAAATACGCGGAAGTACTATCGATAAGCGGTTTCAGTTTACGATCCACACATTTAACTACATAATATAAAGCTTCCAGAATGTTCCACTTACCCTCTTTTCCGAAATACACCCTTATAGTCATGTGCTATTAGAATTATTATCGTATTGAAAATTTAAAACTTGAAATATATATTTTTGTACTCCGTAGCGAAAGTGGTCACATTTAAGGCTAAAATGTTTTTTCTTTTAATTATTCATCTGAATAATGCTTTCGTAGACCGAGAATCAAACTGTAACTAATTATATCAACGAAAAATTTTTCTATTCTTTCTAACATAACACAACACGCCT